TCTTGTGCACAAGTGCGCTCGGATATAAAAAAATCAAACTTGATCGTACATAGTCGTGCATGGCGTATGAGTGACATTACTTCCTGTCCATACATATTTCATACAAAAAATCATTGGACATTTTCATTTGACCATTCACAACACAACTTTTGTATTTATCCATCGTTTTTCTTCGTTTAAAGCGAGTTTTTTTTTTATAAAAGAAATTACTTTAATACAAATGATAAACGGGAGATAGGCGTGGTTATTGTCCGATTTTGCCCATTTTCAACACCGTCCATCCTACGCTGAAAAGAAGTATTCATAGCGGGTTTCGATTTCTTTTTTCCATTCTGATCATTTATGTATACATTTCTCTATATCTACCTCGATTCGTTTTGGCTGTTACAAACAACCGTTATGTGAACAAAGTTAATATACCCTTGTGCACAAGTGCGCTTGGGTATAAAAATAAAATACAAATTAACATAAAATGTAATTGACACTTGATGTATACTTTTCTCTCATTAGGCAATTCAAGCTATATAATTACGGTGATCATATATTTGCAGTGAAAATACTGTACGCAATCTTATTATGTATATGTAGGCGCCACGATTGAGAGAATACATCATTCTTGTGTAGGCGCCATAGTATTTTTGAGCAGAACTCCTTACTGCGAAGCGGCCTTTGGCCGCGCTTCAAAGAAATAACCCTCATCAGTCCAACTCCAACTAACGGCGAGCCTAAGCTATTGACCAAAAATTGTCATCTTTCACACAGGTTGATATTAGAGCATAATGAACCATATTTTTCCTATTACGAATCAAAATTCTAAATAAAATTATGCAAAAAAATATTTTTTAAAAACAAGCTTTTATTTAACATGTACAATCAAAGGAATAAAATAAAGTAGTGTAACAAAAGATTTTTTAGCAAGAAAATTTTGTCAAAACTGCACTAAAATTAATAAAATTAAATAAGTTAAGGTCTCGTTAAAGTTACTAAAAGCCATTTAGTGAAAGGAGTTATTCAAACTGTAATGAAAATTACTAACAATTTGTACTAATTTACTTCGTTTTTAAAAAAGTTTGTCGCGCGAATAGCAAACCGGCATTTAAATATCTGTATACATACCAGAGAACAGCTTTGAGTATGATCGAGCCTCTTTGATCACACTCACTAAAAATCAAGCACAAGCGAACGCCACACTCGGCTACTATGTGTTCGATCGAGATGCATACCCGACAGCTGCTTTGGTTACGAACGAGTCTGTTCGATCACCCTCGCTATAAATTGAGCACAAGCGAACACCACACTCGGACACCCGCAGCTAACCCGAAAATTTGTGTAACAATGAAACGGACACCCGAACATTGCGATAAAATGCAGGACAACAAAGAAATTTACGCTGAAGGTAACTGGCGCCAATATGTTCCCACAAAGCATACGAAAATGTTGTTGCTTTGTGCTTGTGCTACCGAAAAATTCAACCTTCTCTTTACCCTCTACGCACAAAAACTAAGAACACCGCGATGAGAAGGCAACATTTTTTGTAGAAACAAAAACGTCATAAGCCAATCAAGAAAATTTTGTGCACACTCGGGTGGAAACTCGAACACCCGGGTATATTGAGCTGCAAAGCACCCGAACCCAATCAAGTATGTATGAAAAGCAATCGGGTGTTGTGGCCAACATGTTCGTCTTGAGCTCAGTCGATAACGAACAATACTTCTGCTCGTATACAGAGAACGATGCAAAACGGGTTTTGTTAGATGATCGAGTATACACGAAAATCATGCACCCGCTGCAGATGTCTGATACATACATACCTAACCAATTATGCATGTACGCTGAATTCGCCGACAAGCTTTTTGAAATGTACATGTACATGTTAAATAAAAGCTTGTTTTTAAAAAATGTTTTATTACATTATTTTATTTTCTAATTTTTAGTCCATTTATAAATGCGTTGCATATTAAAAGGTGTTATTTTATTTTATGCACAAAATTTTGCAGAAGATATTAAACTAATTCAACTTGCAATGAAAGAGAACAGAAGACTATGCAAGCAAAATGTTGTTTGCTTACGTTTTGTATAAACAGTATAGCAGCAGTTAATTTCATTTAAAGAAATGGCGTGTCGTCCATTCCCGCTGTAGCGTATATAAAAGGTGCATATATTTAGCCGCAATATTTAACTTCTTCTGGCGGGGCGACATCTGGAGTCTTTTAATTGTATCTTCTTGATATGATGCCTACCACGAAGTTCATATCTAGACTAGGTTGATATCTAGAATTTGCCACAAATAGCTTTGCTTTGCAGGCGGTAGTAGCTTTAACAATTTTATAGTGGTTTTACGTTCTTTGGCAGATTACGCTCTGTTAGCCATAAATCTTATTATTTTTTGACCGCCTTTGAATCTAGACCCCTGGATCATATAGGGAATTCATTTATGTTTTAAATTGCATTGTCATCGTGATTGGAACTATGCTGAAAATTTCAAGTCTCTAACTTGTCGGGAAGTTAGTTTAAAATCGATAGGAAATTTCCGCGACTTCCGCGGGATGACCAAGTTAAATAAAAGCTTGTAAAAAAAGGATTTTCGAGACACGCTAATACATAGTTCATATTAGTTCGCGTTGATATTAGTACTGAGGCAGCACGAGATAAATTGCTTCTGCCATATTTCGTGTGGCTTACAGTTAGTAATGCCGACTTCTACTAACAAGTAGAGCTCTTGTTAACAGTCGATTATCTGGTTAACCGATTATTCGAATAGTCGAGTAGCAACTTTTGCATTGACTGAAAATCGAATAGCAAGTATTCGATCATTTCATCAACTTCGACTAGTCGTGCAATTGATTAACTGTCATTATTCGAATAGTGAAAGTTGCTTAAATACAAATTTTTTATCTTTTCAAAACAAAAAATGTGCTTTATCGAAAATGAGTTTACGTAAGCGTAGGTGGGTGTGGAACTTCTTTTCTAATTCCGAAGGTGGAAAAGAAGTCAAGTGTTCAATATGAGGACAAAATATGGCCTATAATAATTCGACATCGTCTTTGGCAACCCATTTGAAGGCCACTCATAAGAGGAACAAGGAGCAGGACCTGGAAATGTATGTTTATGTTAACGAACTAATTAGTGGTAATTTTCCATAGTTTATCCTCCCCAGGACCACAGATGTAGCCAATAGTGAATGCGCCGAAACAAGCCCGGCAAAAAATGTCAAGCGTAGAAGAAAAAACGAGATGGCGAAACTATTCCAAACGAGCGCCAAGAGACCATTTCTCGTGCAATAGCACGATTAATTGTAACAAATATGTTACCCATTTCTCTTGTTGCAACCCTGGATTCCATGAGTTTATCAAGGTGATGGATGCACTTTGAATTTTGCATATTTTGCTATAAGTCACGTATTCAGCTCCATCATAATTCATGCAGTACCACAACATTTTTGGTACTATAAATATTCAAAGCCTATCAAGTAATCGAATGAAAACAACTAGTCGATTATGAACGGCTAGTCGAAAGTGAACGGTTAATCGATTAATGGCATTCGATTATTTTTTGAAACAACCTTTTCTATTCGATTAACCGATTAATCGGTTAGTCGATTAACAAGAGCTCTACTAACAAGCAAATATTGCGACTAAAGGTCTATTTTCACCCATCAGTGCCGTTTTAATACCGTACAGTGGTAAATCTAGAATCCTTTTTCCGTGGCTGTTAGAGCCTTTATTTTATTTTTTTAATTTCAGGAATTAACACATATCGTCGCCTGGCGTGAAATACCGCATATGAAGATCCGATCATTGGATCATGAAGAAATTAGCGTTTTTCTAAAATTTTGTATGAAAATTTAAGGCGGTTTTGTTTTTTTCAAAATAGTACTTGTTGTCTATATAAACAGAACTTTCAAAAGAATAACGTCATTTACATATGCAAAATTATCGTTGCCGACGTATTTTTTATTCACTTTACAACAATAAAATACACTACAGAATAATAATTTTTTACCAGATAACCTGCTAACCAGGCAAGTGTGAACAACCCAACTGATTCTGAACTGGCAAGGCACTGAAATGTGTAAATAGACCCTAATGTAGTTTGGGCAAATATGGAGGCGATAGGAAAGATTTACGTGATGCATGGCGAGTTTCTTTGTGAGCTTGCATTTATTATGTTTACGCGAGTTTGCGATTTGAACATATTGACCCCAAAGTGCATTGCATGTTTATTATCATAAAATCCGACATATACATTATTGTGTGCGCATGATTATGCATTAAAAATGTATCTGTTTTCATTGGACTGTCAATATATTTCTCTAAGCCTATGTTTGTATGTCGATATGTGTTAAATCGCGTTTCATTTTACGTTGCCTGCTTTGCTGTGCTTATTTGATGATTCGATGCAAATAGTATCGAACTATATTTGCCTTCTCTATTGGCGGCTGCATTAGTGCATTTACGCATTTTAGATTGGCACAGAAATACACACAGTCAACCTGCCACTGTTTGCACACATCCATATGTACATATGTACATGCATACACATATAGATGCTCACTCATTCCCGGCACATTCATTCTCGGCTCCTCTTTGCATTACGATTTTGCCATTAGGTTTGTTTGCGCCACTATCTCTGCGATTTCACAATGCCTTCGATCGTCTAGTTTTGTATTTGTTTTTAATTAGAATTTTGTTGACATTTGGAAATTTAGTTAAATTGGGATGCACTTTGCAGTATTTGCCGACTGTCATTGTCCCTATCTGAGCACCACTCGATTGCTAACTTTTACTTTGATTGCGATTGTACATAAGTGGTATCTGAACATTCTGAGAGTATTTTTTGCACTGTTCTTTTAGTGCAACAGTGAGATAAAACAGCATTAGGTCACCATAGAAAAAGTTGCATACAATTAAGTTAATTTAGTTCTTTCTATATGTATACTTCCAACTCACTTTTTGGCTATCATATTTCAAAAGATAGTACATTTTGTACTCGTAACTTACCAGACAACTTGCGTCAGAGATGCCGGATTCGCGACATATTCACAGTTGAGCAGCACTGTGTCGCTGGTATTTACTGTAATCTCCGGCGGACTGACTTTGACTACCGGTGGATCTGCAAAGGAGAAATTTTCGCATGAAATTCGTTACACTAATTTTACGTTGCATGAAACCATAAATATTGGTGTTGGTGTTGTGGTTTTTCTGTTATGAAACTTACATAAAACTTCCAGTGTCAATGATGACGTGAATGGTTTTTCTCGGTTTATCTGCAGCACGACATTGTCCGCGTCACACCGAAATATCATGTCATTCTCGAAACGTGTCGCGTTGAAGATAAGCTCTGACTGCGTGTGATACGTGCCATCGTCCTTCTCGAACTGGTAATATGGGAAACAGAAAGAAAAACAGAAATTGCAGGGTATACATATGTATATATACATTCATAGTTAAGAGAAAATGGGTTTTTGATTTTACAGGTGCATAAAAATTTTTGAAAATCTGGTTTCCAAAGAGGAAAAAAGTAATTTGCTTTGCCTTTTGACTTTGTGTCTTAAACTTATTTTTCTTCATATTACAGCGTAAATTACTTTAACTCGATCAAGTTACTTCACACAAACCAAGTACGTTCATATTTTGTTTCATAATTTCTATAGATATGTGATTAGCACGTGTACGTAGGATTGTGTTGTACTTTATTTAAACAAAAAAAAAAAAACAGATCAGTCCAGTGCCTTCGTCTTGACTAAAACTTAAACGCAGAATACGTAATTCAGGTTGAATTTAAATTTTAAAATAGGTGGCAACCCTCCTACATGTAGTTTAGAAATAAATCTCCTCAAATCAATTTATATTGAGGTAATTTATTAAACCTATGGCATAAATTAAATTAAACTTTGTAAACAGGTGGCAACCCTCTGCAAAATATTTCCAAACCACAACCTCTTTCGTCTGGCACCCATATCGGGATACATATTTCAATTTTATGATTGCCTTAATTTAGGTTGAGCTTGATTTTTCTAAACAGGTAGTAGTTTAGAAATAAAGGTCTTTCAATGCCATTTTGAAATATATTGTACTAATACACTTAAACTGATTTACACAACTCTTTTCAAAATATTTTGAACAACCTCTTTCGTCTGACATTCATATCGGGATATGTATTTAAATTTTCTAAATACCTTAATTTAAGTTGATCTGGATTTTGTAAACGGGTAGCAACACTCCTTCATGCAGTTTAGTAATAAAGGCATTTTATAAGGCCATTTTGATTGATACCCATATTATAGTAACTCATTTAACCTATTGTATACAATAAGTTTAACTTTGTGAACAGGTGGTAACACTGTTCAAAATATTTTCAAATGAAAGCCTTTTCAAACTTTTAATTTAATTTGAATTTAATTTATGAAACTGGTGGCAATCCTCCTACGGGTAGTTTGGGAATAAAGTTTTTCCAAAGCCATTTTCATTGATATCTACTATATAATAGTAATGCATTTACCTTTTGTATACATTGAATTTACCTTTGTAAACAGGTGGCAACCCTCTTCAAATATTTTCAAACCATAACCTCCTTCGTCCGGCACATATATATACATATATCGGGATACATATTTCAATTTTCTAAATGTCTAATTAAAGTTGAACTTGATTTTGTTTTTGTTTTTATGCTCTCACCCCCTAGGATTGTTCTATACCGAAAAAAATATATATCCCTATTTTTTAATTTGAAATCAAAAAATATTTAGACGTTGTTCAAAGCGCCCAAAGTTTTCCATGTAATTTATATGGGGAAAAACAACTTTTCGTAGAAACGGTATATAATTCCTAAAATCAATATTTTCTATCGAAAAACTCTATTTAGCTGCAGGAGAATCCCAATAATAAACATTATTAATCATTTTTTCATCGCAACTTTAATTCATAGGTGCGCCAAAACCCATTAAAATCCCGAAAAATGCAATGGGCGGACCAATAAAAAATAGTGGTGGCAAACTATCGATGGCACTATCAGTATCGGTGGGACATCACTATCGCAACTATCAATGGCGATCACTATCGGCCATATCTGAAGTTCGATGCTATCGAGGAATTGCCATATCTATGTATGATTTTTATGTACCATACATATGTTGAAACGCGTTTGTGTGAAATTTTTTATAATACTCGTGCGGATAGTGTAACAAAATATGGACAAATATCTAACTCACAATGTCAAAGATCACGTGTGTTATAGATATGTTTATATTGCATGTGTTTCATTTTATGTAATAAATTTTACAGAAAACTAGAGTTTAAGTCATGAATCTTTTTGTACAAAAAAATCTGCACATAAATCGTAAAAGTAAAAATGTTAAAGTTGTATAAGTAAATAAACAAGAATTTAAGTAAATTAATGAACATTTTATAGTGTCGCGAAATATATTTCTCTTTTTTTCTTTGAAGCTAATTAATTTTTTATAAAAGCCCAGCTTAATGTCTAATGAAAACCATGTAAACCCCTATTTCAAACTTTGTGCAACAATTAATAAAATTCCTCACAGTTTCACCGAAATTCCTAACTTTGGAATCAGAATTTTGAGAAAAATGTTTGGTGTGAAATTTTAAAGTCCATTAAATTTTAGTATAATAAACGGTGTCACGTATTTTCTTCAAACGTAATTTTTACATGTCTTTTTGCTGCATTCATATTAAAAAAATTCATCCACACTATCGAGACTATCGGCGGCAGCGCACTATCGAGATTATCGATGGCAGCGCACTATCGGAAAAAATTACTATCGGCACAATCGATAGTGACCCAAAAGACTATCATCAACTATCGATGGTGTCCACTATCGATAGTTTGCCACCACTACTTCAAAGGTGATACATTTCAAAATTATACATTCGTCAGAAAATGCGAAAAACTATATCTTAGCACGTGCCAATGATATGAGCAAGGAAGACTTTACCTTAGGTTTTTTTTAACAAATTATAACAGACATTTTCTCCAGCTGAAAGGTAAATAAAAGCTCTGTGTACATTTTTAGTGCATGATTTGAAAAATGCCAAATTTTGGGTTGCGTTACTTTTGAGGATCGATTTTGCAATCGACTTTGTTATCGATTTTATTATCGATTAACTGTCGATTTTGTTATCGATTTTTTTTATTGATTTTGCTATCGATTTTGTTATCGATATTTTTATAGATTTTGTTGTCGATATTTTAATCGATTTTGTCATCGATATTTTTATCGATTTTGTTATCGATATTTTTATTGATTGTGCTAACAATTTTGCTATCGATATTATTATCGCTTTTGTTATCGATATTTTGATCGATTTTGCTATAGATATTGTTACTAATTTCGCTATCGATATTTTCGGAACTTATCGATATAATGATCGATATATTTATCGATTTTGTAGTCGATATTTTTAACGGTTTTGTTGACGATACTTTTATCGATTTTGCTGTCGATATTGTTATCGATATTTTTATCAGTTTTCTTATCGATATTTTTATCGATTTTGCTATCGATATTGTTATCGCTTTTGTTATCGATATTTTGATTTTGTTATCGATATTGTTATCGATATTTTTATCGATATTGTTATAGATTTTCTACCGATATTACTATCGATTTTGAGATCGATATTTTCATCGATTTTGTTATCGATGTTTTTATCGATTTTGCTATCGATATTATTATTGCTTTTGTTATCGATATTTTATTCTAAGTGTGTGCTTTCGTTTTTGACTTTGATAAGCTCTTAACCAAAACAAGTATTCTACGTTTAAATATAGCGGCTGTATCTCCGATACCACCACGAAGGCTCAGGACTGTACCTTTTTGGTCTCCTTTTGTCACTGCCGGCAGCCTAACTGTTCTTGCGCATGCA